GGCATGTACCACACGGACCACACGCGGCATGTACCACACGGACCACACGCGGCATGTACCACACGGACCACACACGGCATGTACCACACGGACCACACGTGGCATGTACCTCACGGACCACACGTGGCATGTACCACACGGACCACACAGACCACACGCGGCATGTACCACACGGACCACACGCGGCATGTACCCCACGGACCACACACAGCATGTACCTCATGTGCAACGTGCAGCTGCGGTGCGTGGTGCGTGCGGCCTGGGACCACAACGCCCAGAAATACGCCCCAGCTGCCACACATGGCGTGAGTTGCCACACGCGGTATTTGTTGCCATGCCACACACGACTAGAATCGCCACACGCGGCAAGAGTTGCCACAAAAGTTGCCACAAGGGTTAGCGTATCTACTTTTCACTAAGTTACGCACGAATGCGTAAGCGGTCGATACGCACGGCGCGTGTATACGCCGGCTTGTCACGCTAGCCACACAATTAATCCGGCAGCGCTTGATTAGTTCCGTGTGCTTGGAGTGCGTATGATTAGTGGGGCATGATGCATTTTGAGTGCGTGTTTGTATGCGTATTCTGTGCGTGTGTGCACATTTGTACGCGTATTCTGTGCGTGTGCACATTTGTACGCGTATTCTGTGCGTGTGCACATTTATACGCGTATTCTGTGCGTGTGCACATTTGTACGCGTATTCTGTGTGTGTGAACATAATTGTAAGCATAATTAGTGCATGTGTATCTGCTCCTGTCTCTACTACGCATAAGAGCGTATCTGATGTACGCAACACTAAAATCTTGACAGTAAAAACACCATTGTGCACGCTTATGCACGCTTCATTCTAAACCAAATTGAGAGCTGCACCAGCTTCTGATTACGGAATAAGACGCTGACGTGGCCCCAAATTTTGTTTGCTCGTTAAGTGAACTGACAAGCCTCCGTAACACAACAGTATTTACTTCAGCACTTTGTATTGAAATGACGAGCCTCCGTTTTACATCATTTCACGCGAGAATTTTAAACCGAACTGACAATTTACAGTTATACTTTTCCGTTTTGCATCGTTACTCTCGCTATGATGAACTTTCCCCCAAAAAATACGGAGCCGTTACCTCTTCTGATGCTCGTAACCAGAAGCTGAGGCGGCTCAAAGCAGAAGCTGGAGCGACTGTAACCAGAAGCTGGAGCGACTGTAACCAGAAGCTGGAGCGACTGTAACCAGAAGCTGAGGCGGCTCAAAGCAGAAGCTGGAGCGACTGTAACCAGAAGCTGGAGCGACTGTAATCAGAAGCTGGAGCGGTTCTTAACTATGTTAGAGATTTGACCTTACTTTGTCATACGTTCCTAACGCTCTTGTCTTTTTTGCAGACCGGCAGCAAGATCATCGGCGTCATCTATCTGGTGAGTCTTCAAGCTGATCCCTTCAATTATTGAGTAATTAGTCACTTGATTGGAGAGTAATTAACGAATTAATTGGTGAGTAATTAGTAAATAATTTAAGTTAGCGACTGAATGACGAGATCAATCATAATGGAAATCACCGACTTCTTGAGCGACTGAGTAGCCGACTCCTCAATAGGCTCCCCTTAACTGCATTATGTGGTCTCCTAAACCTCTTCATAATTGAGAATGTTGTATGCAGTGCATTGCGAGAGGCAGGGTTCTGAAATAAGGCATGGGGGTTGGTAGAGCAGGGTTCTGATCCCTGACATGAGGGTTGGTGGGGCAGGGTTCTGATCCCTGACATGAGGGTTGGTGGGGCAGGGTTCTGATCCCTGACATGAGGGTTGGTGGGGCAGGGTTCTGATACCTGACATGAGGGTTGGTAGAGCAGGGTTCTGATCCCTGACATGAGGGTTGGTAGAGCAGGGTTCTGATCCCTGATATGAGGGTTGGTGGGGCAGGGTTCTGATCCTTGACATGAGGGTTGGTGGGGCAGGGTTCTGATCCCTGACATGAGGGTTGGTTGGGCAGGCCCTATCGAAATTCGAAGACCTGTCAGCTGCTGGCACACGGACGCCCCAAATTCTTATGACAGGGTAAATTAGAAGCTCTATGTCCGCTTTAGGTTCCGGTTGCCGTAGCAAAATAAGCGCCGAAATGGAATCTTGTGTAACTACTCATCGAGCTTGGGGCGATCGTGGGGCGTGCGTAATTGGTACCTGATACGTTCGGGACAGACACGGCCGAATATGAAAAATGCTTTAAAAAAATGCCCCCTCCCTTCCCCCCCTTATGGGGGGAAGGGAGGGGGCATTTCAATCTCTGTAAGTTATATATATATGCAGTCTATATTGCACTACTCGCTCAGTTTTAAGATCAGAGCAGTCTACCAGAGGCTCAATTTCATGCAAAGANGCAGGGTTCTGATCCCTGACATGAGGGTTGGTGGGGCAGGGTTCTGATCCCTGACATGAGGGTTGGTGGAGCAGGGTTCTGATCCCTGACATGAGGGTTGGTGAGGCGGGGTTCTGATCCCTGACATGAGGGGTGGTGGGGCAGGATTCTGATCCCTGACATGAGGGTTGGTGGGGCAATGTTCTGATCCCTGACATGAGGGTTGCTGGGCAGGGTTCTGATCCCTGACATGAGGGTTGGAGGAGGAAGGCTCACAGGGAGGGGGGGCGGCAGTCTATTTTCGTTACGTTGCTCGGTTTGCTCCTAAAACAAATTCTTCGCCGCCCCCCTCTCCCGTATGGGCTGGGGGTGGATGCTCCCTAACCCCTCGTTTGGGGAACAGGGAACAACGGTGTAGAAAAGGGGGGGTAGACAAAGTAGGTGTTGAAAGGGTATTGAACAGAAGTGGTGTAAAAAGGGTGGCGAACAAAGGCGGTGTAAAAAGGGTGGCGAACATAGGCGGTGTATAAAGGGTGGTGAACAAAGATAGTATAAATAGGGTGGTGAGCAAAGATGGTATAAATAGGGTGGTGAGCAAATTAAGATGGTGTAAATAGGGTGGTGAGCAAAGATGGTGTAAATAGGGTGGTGAGCAAAGATGGTGTAAATAGGGTGGTGAACAAAGATGGTGTAAATAGGGTGGTGAGCAAAGATGGTGTAAATAGGGTGGTGAGCAAAGATGGTGTAAATAGGGTGGTGAACAAAGATGGTGTAAATAGGGTGGTGAGCAAAGATGGTGTAAATAGGGTGGTGAGCAAAGATGGTGTAAATAGGGTGGTGAACAAAGATGGTGTAAATAGGGTGGTGAGCAAAGATGGTGTAAATAGGGTGGTGAGNTGCGAGACACACGCAGGGTCTGCGAGACACACGCAGGGTCTGCGGGACACACTCAGGGCCTGCGGGACACATGCAGGGTCTGCGGGACACACGCAGGGTCTGCGGGACACACGCAGGGTCTGCGGGACACACGCAGGGTCTGCGGGACAGAGCGCGACGCGGTGGCCAGAGGAACACAATACGCCACCAGACAATGGGCGCCATGATGCCGTTGTGCTGTTGTTGTTGTTGCTGTTGTTGCTGCTGTTGTTGTGTTGCTGTTGCTGCTGTTGTTCGTTCTGCTGCTGTTGTGCCGTTGTTACTGCTGTTGTTCGTTCTGTTGCTGTTGTGCTGTTGTGATGCTGTTGTGTTGTTGTTGCTGCTGTTGTTCGTTCTGCTGCTGTTGTGTTGTTGTTGTGTTGTTGATGATGCTGTTGTGTTGTTGTTGTTGTTGCTGTTGTGTTGTTGCTGCTGTTGTGTTGATGCTTTTCCTGTCGTTGTTTTGAAGTTGTTATTATGATTTTTGGCCTGTTTCCGTTTGTTATTGTTGTTGTTTCTGGGATTTTTTTGCATTTGTTCTTGCTGTTGTTGCTTCTTTGTTGTGGCGATTGTGCCCGTTGTTGTTGCTGTTCCTCCTCCCTTTTACCTACTAGTACCGGGGTTGACAGGTGGCCTAAAAATGGCCAAGTCCGCTGACAAAAAAGGCCTATTATTCAATATTTACGAGTAAATTTGTAAATTCCGGTGCAAAATTAAATTTTAGTTTTTTTCGTACTTTTCAAAATTTAATTACGAAGTACCGACATTATAAATTTTTCCCTACAACGCAGTTGGAAAAAACTAAATCGCGGAATTTGTCCGGAAAAAAGACCCTGCAAACCACCGGTGGGCCGTGCTGTACTCAACTTGCTAACTCACTTAATCCCTGACAAGATACCTACTGCTACTTACCCTGCAGCGAGATACCCACTGACCTCCTCCACTAGATACCCCACTTACCACCCCCCCAGCAATACCTCCTAGCGAGATACCCACTTACCCCCCAGAAAGATACCTCACTTACCCCCTAGCAAGTTAATTCACTTACCCCTAGCACTAGCAAGATACCCACTTATCCCCTAGCAAGATACCCACTAACCCCCTCCCTCATTAGATACCCCACGTACCCCCCAGCAATACTTCCTAGCGAGATACCCTCATTTACATGCTAGCTAGAATTAAGGAAGTAAAAGCCCCTCACCCCCCGCGTGGGGGTCAATGCTGTAAATATCACGGGGGGGGGAAGTTGGGAGCAGTGGCACTAGGTTGAAATAATTGATGATCATTGATTGATGGGGGGGGGGGGGTGCCCCCTCCCTCACCTACCCCCCTCCCCAATAAATGTACTGCACAGTGCTCGTTCTACGCCTCATTAACATCGCAATTAGTTGATAACTGCGAGGTGTGGGGTCACGGGGCAGCAGCAATAAGAGCTGCAGCAGCACTAACTGCAGCAGCAGCACTAAATGCAGCAGCAGCAATTAGCAACCGCACTAACAGCAGCAACCTGCGGCAGCAGCAGAACTAACTGCAGTTGCAACAAACGGCAGCACTAACAGCAGCAGCACTAACAGCAGCAGCAGCAGCAAACGGCAACCGCACTAACAGCAGCAAGCGGCGGCAGCAGCAGCACTAACAGCAGCAGTGCGTGTGCCACAGGTGCTGTTGTGTTTGAGCAGCTGAAGCTTTCGTTTGTTTGTTGCAACCAACACAGACACGCGGTTACGCCGGGATGACGTTGGTAGAGAAGCTACGTTAAGACTTGTGACATTAGTCTGTCACGAGTCTGTTATAACCACGAGTCTGTCACAGCCACGAGTCTGTTATAACCACGAGTCTGTCACAGTCACGAGTCTGCTGTCTGTCACAGCCACGAGTCTGTTATAACCACGAGTCTGTCACAGCCACGAGTCTGTCACAGTCACGAGCTTGTTACAGTCACGAGTTTGTCACAGTCACGAGTCTGTCACAGTCACGAGTTTGTCACAGTCACGAGTCTGTCACAGCCACGAGTCTGTCACAGTCACGAGTCTGTCACAGTCACGAGTCTGTCACAGTCAGTAGTCTGTCACAGCCACGAGTCTGTCACAGTCACTAGTCTGTCACAGTCTCGAGCCTGTCACAGTCACTAGTCTGTCACAGCCACGAGTCTGTCACTGTCACTAGTCTGTCACAGCCACGAGTCTGTCACAGCCACGAGTCTGTCACAGTCACTAGTCTGTCACAGTCACTAGTCTGTCACAGCCACGAGTCACCACGAGTCTGTCACAGTCACTAGTCTGTCACAGTCACGAGTCTGTCACAGCCACGAGTCTGTCACAGTCACGAGTCTGTCACAGTCACCACGAGTCTGTCACAGTCACTAGTCTGTCACAGTCACTAGTCTGTCACAGTCACTAGTCTGTCACAGCCGCGAGTCTGTCACAGCCACGAGTCTGTCACAGTCACGAGTCTGTCACAGTCACGAGTCTGTCACAGTCACGAGTCTGTCACAGCCACGAGTCTGTCACAGCCACGAGTCTGTCACAGCCACGAGTCTGTCACAGCCACGAGTCTGTCACAGTCACGAGCCTGTTACAGTCTCGAGTCTGTCACCGTCACGAGTCTGTCACAGTCACGAGTCTGTCACGATATGGGTGACAGAATCACGTAGCTGTCACTCTTCCGTCTACCTGTTACCTGTTCATCTGTCACTACCGCCTGTCCCCGACACAATCTCCCCCGTCTCTCCGTCTACTCGTGCGTGTCATGCTAGACGGGGAAAGTTCTTTATCCGTCTTTGTGACGCGTGACCGCTGCCAGCCGCACCGTATCCCAGATAACAGACGGTCACAGTAGACGGAAGCTGCAACAGTAGACGGAAACTGCAACAGTAGACGGAAGCTGCAACAGTAGACGGAAACTGCAACAGTAGACGGAAGCTGCAACAGTAGACGGAAACTGCAACAGCTGACAGTAGCTGCAACAGCTGACAGTAGCTGCAACAGCTGACAGTAGCTGCAACAGCTGACAGTAGCTGCAACAGCTGACAGTAGCTGCAACAACAGACAGAAGCTGCAACAGCTGACAGTAGCTGCAACAACAGACAGAAGCTGCAACAATTGACCAAACCATCAAGTACAGACAATGTTGCGGGCTATCTATCATACTTCTATTAAACTGGCCAACTGGCTGGTATAAATACGATTGGAATAAAAGCTATCACATTTATTGAAACCATGGCTAGATCCCGGCACCTATTTTTCTATATCTGAGAATCGCAATGTTGAGAATAGTGGTAAAGGAAAATAGTCTCGAGCGAGATTGGAACTAAGAGCTTCTCTACGGATGGAAACAAGCATTATTACAATATCTATAAACAAATCAGACTTTTACATGTACGTATACGGTATACGAAACATATACGATATAAATCACCTGACTGACCGACCGTATGACAATGACTGTAAACAGACTCTTACCTCACTGGTCTGCTTTTCAAGGAACAAAGCCGGTTTAGAAATAGGTCTACTATAAAATTTCGGCCGTGAGTAGGCCCAAGCCTGAAGGTATTCCTGCTCCACGGGAGTCTGTTGCATCAGAAGCGACGATGACAGACAGACCTTCAATGAGTTAGCTGGTGTCGTCTGCAAATCACGTTGGTGCATAAATGCACCGACGTCTCGCATTCCTATAACGAAACTAGAAATAAACGCACTCCTGTTGCCACGACCGTAGCATGAAGACTATTGTTTGAGCCACCGTCAGCAATTTTGAAATAATGCAGCAACCCCTATAGAAACTAATCAAATAACCAAGAGAACAATTAAGCGACTAGCTTTACAGGCCGTCCAGAGATGGAAGACAACACCTATCCATACCTCTCCCCATACCAGAGCCCCAATCTTCACCTCCACACTACCTTCGGGCTATTTTTGTAGCCCTCTAGTATTAGTTTTATGAATGAGGTATCATTGCAGTAACATTGCAGCTTCTAGGGTTCATTGAGGCATCAAGTTTGAAGCGCGCCCGTTGGTTCGGGGAAGGATAAGACGGAAAGCGGGGCGTTGTAATATAAGCTGACAATGATGTTGGGATGGTAGGGACCATGTGAGGTTTTTTAAAACACCTTTCCACTTGCTCAATGTGAGGCACAACCTTATAACCCAACTAATGCGTTGCAGTGTAACTCTACAACCCTGCCCCACAGGTGAGCGCCCTCCTCAACAGCCTGATGCTGACGGTGGTAACGCTGATGCTGTGGGTGATAGACCTGCTGCCGCAGGTTCTGGCCATGCTTGAGACTGCGCTCCTTGAGGGCGCTCATCAGGTCCAAGACGGCTCACACGACGCTCACGACCACGGTGCTCACGATCACGGTGCTCATGAGCACGGCTCCGACGACTATGAGGACTCGGCCGAGTTCAGGAACGGCACCGACGCGTCCGTGGAGAACATCAAGGAGGCCTTGGAGGTCCTTAAGTCAAGTGTCATGGCTGGTGAGGCTGCGAATCATATCATGAGGTTATTATCATATCATGAGGTTATTATCATATCATGAGGTTATTATCATAACGAGGTTTGTTCGATTGGACGATGGGCGCAGACTTGTGGCGAAAATAACGTTTCTAAGATAATGCGTTAAGTCAGATGATCGAAATGAAAAAGAATTATGAAGCACGAGGAATTTATCATTTCGATTTAGTTCTGCAGAGTGAAGAAGGTAAAATGTACAATACAATATACCAAGCCAACTGTAGACCACTTCTCAATGATGAATCAGGGTACTATTTAAGCATTAATTCTAAACGTATGCACGTCACGATTAATACCCTAAATATATGTACGTTACTGAATAACTTGCCCGGTGCCTATCATGAACAATTCCTTAAGGTCCTAGCTAGGGCTGAGACCTACTGTACAAGACGAAACATTTACCTAAATATACCTATTTCATATAGCATAAACCACAATGAAACAATTTCTAAATCTGGGGTTACACAATGGTCCGATTTCGAACAAGCTGAAAGCTGGATTACTGCCATTAGGCATAGAATTTCATCAATTAATCAAAATATTTTCACGGCTCTACGAACATCGACGAAGTAGTGTCGAGAATGAGTGGGAAATTTAGATTATTTATAAAATGGATATAATCATTGGTGATGTAAATAATCGAGAATAATGAAGGTGGTCAAAGAAAATTTAGCTAATCTGAATCATCGGAAGTGAGCTGCAGTATTTAGGTAACCCGTGTGATGGCGGAATGCTGGAGTGATTTGATGCTAATCATAATTAGGTGAATTATCAGTGACACTGAAACAGTTATAGTTAAGCTGGTAACAGTCAGAGTAACGTTGGTAACCCTACAGTGAAGGTGGCGGTGCTGGTGCTGCTGGTGCTTGCCATCCTGAGCGTGATCACCTCGTCGATGCTCATCCACGGCGTCAGGAAGGTAGGCTTTTGTTCGCAGGGTCGCCCCAGGGGGATTTTAGGGTCGCCCCAGCTTCTGGTAATCCATATCAGAAGCTGCTGCGTCTGAAAATTTTTACTGGGTAGCGTTTATTTTAGGGTCGCCCCAGCTTCTGATTAGAGCCTGTCCTTGTTCTGATTGAGGGAACTTTGGATTTGCGCCCTTTTTTGTTGGGGTTTCTCATTTAATCACCCAGTTACTATTGAATTAACTCTCAACATGTATATTGAAATGTGAAGAAACTTTTATCGTAGAGACTTAATTGAATGTTGCCGAATTCATGGAAGTGTGACACAGGCATTTTCGATTGGAGGATCATTGATAATAAACTAATAAATTTGAATATCACCGTGGGCCGCCCCGTGTCCTTGAGTTTAAAAAAATAGTTTAGTTTAGTAGTTAAGTTTAATAATAATGAAATAGTTTAATGTACATCCTTTCACCTTCTGTGACTAAGCCACATGCCAATACTACCAAATCCCACTTCCTTTGAACCACCACACTTCTCTGACCAACCTACACCCATCTTACACTACCCCGGTCCCTTTCTAGCTCATCACACATCTACCTCATCACACATCTACCTCATCACACATCTACCTCATCACACATCTACCTCATCACACATCTACCTCATCACACATCTACCTCATCACA